TGGTGTGGCTCACACCTGTAATTCCAGCATTTTGGGAGGCCTAGGCGGGTGGATCACTGAGGTCAGAAGTTTGACATTTGAAGTCCGGCTCAACATGATGAGAACCCCCATCTCTGCTTATGAATACAAAATTAGCCAGGCACAGTGGCGTGTACTTGTAATCCTGAAGCACTCAGAGGTGAGAGAGGCAGGAGAATCACGAACCTGGGAGGGAGTGCTGCCATGAGCTGAGATCACGCCACTCACCCAGTCTGGGCGCTACAGAGTGTGAGTATTCTATCTCCAAAAAAAAAAAAAGAAAAGAAAAAAGTGATGTAGAATAGATACAATCAGCAGGCATTTACAGGAATGCTAAGTAGTTCCATCAACTTCTCACTTCGCTTATATGGTGCAAATATTTATATTCATGTGTACTAGGTCATAATGTAAATAACACTGTGGTCTCTTTTTGGTTTTTTGTTTTTGAGACTGAGCCTAGCTCTATCGCCCAGGCTGGAGTGCAGTGGCACGATCTCGGCCTGCCGCCGCCTCCCAGGCTCAAGCAATTCTCCTGCCTCAGCCTCCCAAGTAGCTGGGAGTACAGGAATATGCCACCACACCTGGCTAACTTTTGTGTTTAGTAGAGATGGGGTTTCACCATGTTGGCCAGGCTGAGGCCCAACTCTGCCTCAAGTGATCCACCTCTCAGTCTCCCAAAGTGTTGGGATAACGGGCGTGAGCCACCATGCCCAGGCTTTTTATTTGTTTTCTGAGATGGAGTCTTGCTCTGTCACCCAGGCTGGAGAGCAATGGCGCGATCTCGGCTCACTGCAACCTCCTCGAGGTTCAAGCATTCTCATGCCTCTTCAGCCTCCAAAGTAGCTGGGATTACAGGCGTGCACCACCATACTTGGCTAAATTTTTGCATCCCATAGAGAAAGGGTTTCACCACTGCTATTCCCAAACTCCTGACCTCAAGTGATCTGCCCACCTTGGCCTCCCAAAGTGCTGGGATTACAGGCATGAGCCACTGCACCCAGCCTGTATCACTGTGGTTTCTGGCCTCAGGAAAGGTCTGAAAAACACTTAATACAAACATGTTACATAAATTGTATATGTTAAGACGTAATTTAGAAAAAAATGTCAATAATGGATTTACTATGAGAGCAAAATTGCAGACATGTTGGTAAGCACAATGCTTCTTTTTCCCCTTACTGGTCTTTCTCTTCTGTAGGGAAAGCAACTAGACGCCATTTGTGTCAAGGTAACGTCTGGGAGGAACAAAAGGTCAGGAACGGCTAACGCCCCCGCATTGGCCACAATCCAGCCCCAATCTGGGTAAGACAGCCGCCGCCCCTGGGGAATTTCCCACCTGGTGGGCTCCACATCACCAGCTCTCAGCTGCTCAGGTACAGCCCTCGTGAGAACCGAGCTAGTCATGCTTCCTAAGTGACCTACATCAGCCTCCTGCTCAGGGGTTTGTACAGAGACCACTGCCAGCCCTCCAGGTGGTCCCTGCAAAGAGAGTCCCAGCCCTCAAGGCTCCAAATGGACAGCTCCATGTTGACCCCTTTGCTCTGCCTCCAATCGGCCGGCTGTAACATGTTTACTCCAGTTCAGCACATTTATTTATTTCCAACTTGCATATATAAAAATATACTGAGAAATCAAACCATCGTTAAAAGTGAATGATACATTGAGATTTGCATTCGACTGCCAAGCATAAGCTAAAGATAAGTTCATAAAAGTATGATTTATGGATTTGTCATCTGTCAGATTCTGGATGATGATTCAGAACCAGTGTGAAGAAGATCAGGAGGGAGAGGCAGGCGCTCTTTGACTTATCAAGCTGCTCCCTGAGGTCCCAAAGCTTTAAGTGTCAGACTTGTAAAAAGTCACATATAGGGAGGTGGGGACTGGCGCAGCATTTTAAACAGAATCCAGGCTGTGGCCAGCTGACCCTGAGATGGTGCTGTCTGGAGAAAGCTAATGAGAGACCATCCGGGGCTGCACGTGGTGGAAAGGACGCCCGGCCTGACCTCCCGGGGCTGTCCATGCCAGCGGCTCCGCATGAGGGAGGGGCCGGCCTGCTTGGTGAGAGTCAGCATGTGTGTGGCCTGCAGGTAATGTTTGCGTCTGAGTGTTGTTTTCGCCATTCTCATACCTCGCTGTTACAAAGAAATACCTGAGACCGCATTTTATAAAGAAAAGAGGTTTAGTTGGCCCACAGTTGCACACAGGCTGTACAGTGAAGCATGGTGCTGGCATCTGCTCAGTTTAGGGATGCTTCACAGTCACGGTGAAGGCAGAGTGAGCAGACATCACATGGCCAGCAGGGACAAGGGGTTGGGGTAGGTACTGTCAATTTTTAAACAACCAGCTAACATGCAGAACAGTACCAAGGATGGTGCTAAACCAATGTGAGATTGGGTGGGGATGGATTCAAACCATATCAGTCCTTATTCCTGCCTCTGCCTGCCCATCATCCTGTTGACCTACAATGTGTGATGGGGACTCAGGGCGAAGGCTCAAGCAGGACCAGAATCATTCAGTGGAGGATTTGAGACCCCCATGTTTGTACTCGGTTGCCGAACAGGCTGGAAGCTGCGTGTCTGTGTGTCGGCATGATTTAGTGAGCACATCTGATGGGAACGCAGCTGTTTCTTGAGGTTTGGTCAGTAAAACTAACGAAAAGCGCTCTTGGCCGGGCGCTGCCATTCCAGAGGGTGATGCTGGGCGGAAGGCAGTCTCGGGGTGCTTCTGGAGCGCCAGTAGGCCCATGCTCAGCGTGTCCTCCCTCCTGCCCCTCTGGAACCCCAACAAAGCCAAGGTGAGCCTGCAAGCCTACCATCACATTGCAAAATTTTTCTGTGTATTATTGGCTAAATACATATAATATCTACCATCTTAGCCATATTGAAGTGTGTGGTTCAGTAGCTTAAATACATTCACAATGTTGTACAGCCATCACTCCCACACATTTCCAGAACTCTTTTCATCTACAAAGCAAAACTCTGAGCTTCAAGTTGGGGTATGTAAAACAACAAAAGACAACTAAAACTGTCCCCATAACCACCAACTCTCCATTCCCTTTTTCCGCAACCCCGCAGCCACTGTTCTACTTTTCTGTCTCTGATTTTCACTATGCTACTTCCCTCATGAGAAGTGGAATCACAGAATATTTGTCTTTTCTGTGACTGGGCTTATTTCACTGAGCACAATATCCTCAAGGTTCATGTTGCAGGAAGTGTCTGCATGTCCTTCCTCTGCAAGGCTGAGTACACCGCTGTTGTGCATATACCACATTTTGCGTATTCATTCATCTATCAATGGACACTTAGGTTCTTTCACCTGGCTATTAGGAATACTGCTGTTGCTATGAACATCGGTGTTCAACTACTTCCCTGAAACCTCTCAGTTTTTGGGAGTATATATCCAGAAGTGGAATTGCTAGATTTTAAGTGGAATTTTCATTTTCTTTAGTTCCTTTTCAGACTATTCATTGTTAGTATTTAGAGATGCAGCTGATTTTTGTGTATTGATTTTTTTTCCAGTCTCACTTGTCGCCCAGGTTGAGTACAGGGCTAGTTTGAGTTTCATTGTAATTCTCTGGTTTTGAGCCTAAGTGATTCTCCTGCCTCAGCCTCCCGAGCAGCTAGACTACAGTCACACACCATCAGTAACTTTTATATTTTTAGTAGAAACAGAATTTCACTCATACTAGCTGTGCTGGTCTTGAACTCCTGACCTCAAGTGATCCATTCACCTCAGCCTCCCAAAGTACTGGGATTACAGGTGTGAGCCACCACACCTGACCTGTGTATTTACTTTGTATATATTTCATTTATTAGTTTTTTATTTATTATTATTTTCTTTTTTAAAAGAGACAGTGTCTCACTCTCTTGCTGTGTCACCCAGGCTGGAGGGCAGTGGCACAATCTTGGCTCACTGCAACCTCAGCCTCCTGGGTTCAAGTGATTTCTGTGCCTCAGCCTCCCAAGTAGCTGGGACCACAGGCTCCCATCACCATGCCTGGCTAATTTTTGTATTTTTATAGAGATGGGGTTTTGCCATGTTGACTAGGCTGGTCTCGAACTCCTGACCTCAAGTGATCCTCCCACCTCTGCCTCCCAAAGTGCTAGGATTATAGGCATGAGCCACCGTGCCTGGCCTCGTTTATTAGTTCCTGAGTGTGTGTGTGTAAAAGGCAGACGCACGCACTTCAGGCATTTCTACTTATAAAATCCTATCTGCAAATAGAGATAATTTACTTTTCTTTTCAATTTTGATGCCTTTTATTTTTCTTGACTATGTGCCGCTAGAACTTCCAGCATTGTGTTGAATAGAAGTAATGAGTGCAGGCATCCTTGTCTTGTTCCTGATTTTAGAGGAAAAGCTTGAGTTTTTCACCATTGGAGTGTATGGGTTTTTCTACATATGACTTTATTATGTTGAGGTCAAAGTTTTCTATTCTTTGTTGAGTGTTTTTAATCATGAAAGGGTGTTGAATTTTGTCAGTGCTTTTCTCCATTAACTGAAATAATCATACTTTTTTGAAAATGGAAATGGCAGCCACAAATAATGGCCAGTTTGAGCTTCCTGTGCCCACTCGCCCCAGCTGGCCTCTTCCACCCCAGGTTCTGCCCGCCTCTGAGGCTGCAGTCCAGGCTGCCTGTGCCTCACTTCCCATGGATGCAGGCCGTGCGCCCTCGGGAGCTGACAGCCCAGCCTGTGCCCAGGGTCTTCTGCCTTCCCCTTCCGCCTGTCCTGAGAGCTCACTGTGCCCTCTGTGGCCCTGACCCAAGGCTTGTTTCTTGGCCTGCTCCTCCCTGCCCTGCGCCCATACAGAGCACACAGCAGGTGCTCACTGGGGAGTGAAGGGAAACGCCACCGAAAGTGCGGCTGCTCAGGGCTGAGAACTGAAACTTTGTTTAGGTTTTATTTTCCTTATCAATGCCTCGGGTTTAAACTTTTTTCTTAATCTTTATCTTCACAAAGGTTGAAAAAGATCATCTAGCAAGTTTTTTCCCAGCTACATATAAGGAATTTGAAAGTCGCATAAAATGGTTAAGAAAATGTGCCAAGATGACCTCAGTAATTCTGGTCTGTGTTTCAGGAGACTCCTGGAAATAAACAATGGTAAGGTACAATCTCCTATGGCAGAAAGAGTTTCACCTTACAGAGTTAGCTAAACAAAGGGCCAGGTGCAGGGGCTTACACTTGTAATCCCAGCACTCTGGGAGGCTGAGGCTGGTGGATCACTCGAGGTCAGGAGTTCGAGACCAGCCTGGCCAACATGACAAGACCAAGCAAGACCCTAATACAAAAATTAGTCAAGGGGTAGGTGGTGCATGCCTCTAATCCCAGTTATACAGGAGGCTGAGGCACAAGAATTCATTCGAACCTGGGAGGCGAAGGTTGCAGTGAGCTGAGATTGTACCACTGTACTCCAGCGCACGCAACAGAGAACGAGACTCTGTCCAAAAAAAAAAAAAAACGCGAAAGAAGAAGAATGATTTTAGTAATGATATTTTTTTAGGGTAACTCTATTTTAGCGCTGACAGGGATGGGTGGACAGACAATGCGCTTGCACAGTGGTGGTTCATGCCTATAAATCCCAGCACTTTGGGAGGCCAAGGCATGGATCACGAGGTCAGGAGATCAAGACCATCCTGGCTAAATACAGCATGAAACCTGTCTCTACTAAAAATGATACAAAAATTAGCCAGGCGAGTGGCATGCGCCTGTAGTCCCAATCACTCGGGAGGCTGAGGCAGGGGAAAATTGCTTGAACCTGGGAGGAGGCTGAGTGAGCTAAGATCATGCCACTGCACCCAGCCTGCAACAGAGGAGACTCCATCTCAAAAAAAAAAAAAAAAAAAAAGTAATAAATGGAAAATACCAGAATACCAGAATCTTGTACCCAGTGATGATCAGAGTTAGTAGCTCAGGTATCCTTTTCTTCTTTTTGTTTTTGAGACAAGGTTTCACTTGACTCTAGTTGAAGTACAGTGGGGCAAATACAGCTCACTGTACCTTGATTTCCCAGGCTCAAGCCATCCTTCCTTCTGGGCCTCCCAAAGTGCTGGAATTACAGGCATGAACCACCATGCCCAGCCTGTCTTCTACGTGGGTTTTGGGGGATGGGTTATATAGGAGCCATTTCATTATTGTTTTTGGTTTTTCTGACACAATTATCATTTCAATGTCATTGTTATTATCAAATTGCCTTTAGCTACATTGATTTTTTGGGGTTTTTTGCATAGAGTCTCGTCTCTGTTGCCCAGGCTGGAGTGCAGTGGTGCAATCTCGGCTCACTGCAACCTCCGCCTCCTGAGTTCAAGTGATTATCCAGCCTCAGCCTCCCCATTAGCTGGGATTTACAGACAATCTACTCACATGCCCGGCTAGTTTTTGTATTTTTAGTAGAGATGGGGTTTCACCATGTTGTCCAGGCTGGTCTTGAACTCCTGATCTCAAGTGATCCACTTGCCTCGGCCTCCTAAGTGCTGGGATTATGGTGAGCCACTGCGCCCAGCCCTGCTGCGCTTAAACAGAGAAAACACTGTGTCATAAGACGTATTAAATACAGTACATAATCTTAAAACATTGTTGAAACACAGAAAACACATCCTTTTTTGACCACAGGAGTTAGTAGGGGAGGCTTGCACCCATCCAGGCTTTGAGCGTGCACTCACACACATGCATGCACATGACCACCATTCACATACCTCACACACACTTGCACTCCTCACACACACTTGCACTCCTCACACACACTTGCACTCATGCCCTTTACACTTGCCCTTGCACACTTGTACACACATGCCCTTTACACTGTGCACACTCAGATCCACACCATACACTCACACTGGCACTCCACACCCACACATGCATCACACCCCTACACTTACACTGTCACATGCACATACACTTACACACATTCACACACACGCACAGCCTCACATATGCACACTCATACACTCATTCAACACTCACACATTTACATGCTCTCACATACACATCCACACACACTATCACATGACACACACTTTTACATGCTTTCACATATACCCACTGGAACACACATGGACACACCTAGCAAGCGCTCATTCTACACACGCACACACACTGACACATTACATGCCTTCAGGGTAACACACATTCCCATACACTCACTGACTCTACACCCTTGTGCACATTCACACTTCCATCATCACAACACTGACACACTTCTGCCTGTCCTTACATGCCTACACATTTGCCATGCACACTTACATATCCTGCGCATTTGGTCACTAACCCTCATGACCCCACACACATATACACACACACACACACACACACACAGGCTTTCTCAAATGCACTCATCCACAAACACATATTCTCATGCATACACACTTACACACACTCGCACGCTCGCTCACACTCCCCTCACATGCAGTCACACTAGCCGCCACACTCACATGTGCTCACACGCACACACACCCCCAGACGCGCAAGACGCACACACACACACACCCACACTCCCAAGCCCACCTGACAGGTGACACTTCACCCAGCGGCTGGGATGGCTGGTCCTCTGCCTGTGCTTGAGGTCTCGGGGCAGCGGCCTGCTGGTTTTCCCACTGCGGTGTCCCTGTGGCTTCAGCTTCGCCTAGTGCAGGCTGCCATTCAACAAACACATTGTCAACAGTCGATCAAAAGAAAACCCATTGGGCTACCGCAGCCTGAGGACTAACCCCTGGAGAGGCAGCTGCCCTTCCAGATGCCCTCAATAGTCTAACGATTCCATCCCCAGCCTCGGGGAGAAGAACTGCTGTCTATGCACTCCACTCACAGGTGAGACTGGGAGAGCTTTAGGAGTGGCTGAGTCCCCTGCCTACAGCTGCTCCCCAATCTATCTTCTCACCTCCCTTTCAGGCGAAAATCATACTCAGTGTTTCTGTGGATCCTTTGACTGACATTGTCAAAGAAAACATTGCACCAGGACAAGTTAACCCTTCAAGGAAGGCCCCCCAGTCAGGACTACTGCACACGGAAGAGAGAGAAGGAGCTTAATCTCATGGAAAGGCTGGACGAGTTTTTAAGTGCTGGGGTGAGATGCTGAGAAGGAACTGAGACATAAGGAAGAGGTTAAGAAACGCAGCAAAGCTATGTGTTGGCTATTGGAATTTTTTCAAAACTAGGAACCTGCCCTTCTGCAAAGACTGAGAGACAGATGTATCATCTTCAATAATGACATTTTAAAGGGATGGCTCTGAGGTCTTGAGAAAGACATTCCTGGGTTGCAAAACTAGCAAGAGGCTAGAAGAAAATTTGGGAGAAGATTTGCATCTCAAAGAGGTAGAGAAAGAACTCACAATTGCAAGTTTCTAAAATAACCTCCGTGAAAAGGAGGCCTGATGGATGGAGCTGGAGGTCATTATGTTAAGTGAAATAAGCCAGGCACAGAGGAAAAATACTGCGTGTTCTCACATGTGGGAGCTTAAAACCTGGATCTCATGGAGACAGAGTAGATTGGTGGCTACCAGAGGCTGGGAAGGGAGCAGAGAAGAGAGATAAAAAATAGTTTGATTAATGGGTACAAGTAGGAGTTGTTTTGTTTTTTTGGAGACAGGATTCTGTTCTGTTGCCCAGACTGTAGTACAGTGATACGTATGATCGTAGCTCGCAGTAACCTGGAACTCTTGAGCTCAAGTGATCCTCCTACCTCAGCCTCCCCAGTAGCTGGGACTTCAGGTGCGTGCCACCATGCCAGGCCAATTTTTGTATTTTTTGTAGAGACAAGGTCTCACTAGGTTGCCCAGGCTGATTCTCGAACTCCTGGGCTCAAGCAGTCTTCCTGCCTTGCAAATAGAATTTTTGATAAAAGAAGTAAGACCCACCGTTCAATAAATCAGCAGGGTAAGTGACTGTGGTTTACAGTAATCTATTGTACATTTCAGAATAGCTAAAGATATAAATTTAAATGTTTCTAGCTAAACAAAAAGGCAAATATGCAGAGTGATGAATATCTTGATCACAATGATGTGATCTTTACAAATTATGAGTGTATTTAGTAATCACATGTACCACCAACATATGTGCATCTGTTATGTATCAAAAAAATTAAAACTAAAAAATAGAAAGACAAAGAGGTTGGGAGGAAAACTGTAACACTCAAGCTGAGGGAAACATGAAGGCTGTCTTAGTCAACAGATTAGCCCTTTTCCCTTTAATCTGCTAATTATCAATTGATATGGTTTGGCTCTGTGTCTCAACCCAGATCTCACCTTGAATTGTAATAATCCTCATGTGGTGGAAGGGAACTAGTGGGAGCTAATTGAATTATGGGTGTGGGTTTTTCCCATGCTGTTCTCGTGATAGTGAATGAGTCTCAGAAGATCTGATGATTTTATAAAGGGCAGTTCCCCTGCACACAGTCTCCTGCCTACCACCATGTAAGATGTGACTTTGCTCCTCCTTTGCCTCCCGCCATGATTGTGAGGCCTCCGCAGCCATGTGGAACTGTGGATCCATTAAACCTCTTTCCTTTATAAATTACCCAGTATTAGGTATGTCTTTATTAGCAGCATTGAGAACAGACTAATATATCAACAACTCCTTTTGAGAACATTTTAATTGTTTGGAAATGTCTGCTCTATCTTGATTTTTTTTTTTTTTTTTTTTTGAGACAAGGTATTGCTCTGTCACCCAGGCTGGAGTGCAGTGGCAAGATCTTAACTCAATATAAATGCCTAAAGTGCAACACTTGGCAGATAAGAAGCCATATGCAGACACATTCTTTTAAGATAATATGTCATTATTTGGTTCTTTATCATGTGAGAATCGGATGACTCAGAGCCAACATAAATTCCAAGTGGTATGCAGAAAACCAATGCGTAGCTGGAGAGGGGAATGAAGGTTAGTATATGCAGTAAGGCTGAGTCGATGCAAACGGCCACACAGTCATGGATTCACAATGATACGGATCTCCATCATCCTGCAACCCAACACCTTGCACAGCCTTCAAACACCAGCTGGGAAATCAAAAGTGGCCTGTGCAGTAGCAGGAGATCTGTTCACCCTCTATTTCCTCTCATCCCCATGCAGCAATCTGGTGCGATCATAGCTCACAGTAACCTCGAAATCCTGGACTCAAGTGATCCTACCACCTCATCCTCCCTAGTAGCTGGGACTACAAGTGTGTGCCACTATGCCAGGCTGATTTGTGTAGTTTTTGTAGAGACAGAATCTCACTAGGTTGCCCAGGCTAGTCTCCTGGGCTCAAGCAGTCCTCCTGCCTTGCAAATACACAATTTGATAAAAGAAGAGAAGTCTTTAAACTCCAGGGTCTGCTGCCCTGCAGAGACAATTTGCATTTTTCTCACCACCCACAGAATGCTAACTAGGCAGCCCGGAGTACCCGGGAGCTCAGGCCATCCAGTGTCCTTTGAGAAGTTAGGAGGAAGCAGAACAGCCAGCTCCCAAATGAAACACAGCAAAATGCTCACCCTTCAAGGGTCTGATTTTGTTTTCTTTTTGTTTTTTGAGACAGGGTCTCACTCTGTTGCCCAGGCTGGAGTGCAGTGGTGGGATTTCGGCTCACTGCAACCACCACCTATTGGGTTCAAGCAATTCTCCCACCTCAGCCTTCCACGTAGCTGAGACTACAGGCACGCACCACCAGTCGGTTAATTTTTGGTTTTGGGGGGTTTTTTTTTGGTAGAGACAGGGTTTCACCATGTTGGCCAGGCTGGTTTCACCTGACCTCAAGTGATCTGCCCACCTCAGCCTCCTAAAGTGCTGAGATTACAGGCATGAGTCGCCGCGCCCAACCTCCTTCAAGGGTCTGAATCCAGCCAGCGTCCTACATCATACCTGCTTCAGCCTATGCAATGGAGAGAGCCTGAGATTTCATTTCAATAAGAAAACAAGAGTTACATTATATCAAACTAAAAGGAAGAAACACAAACAAAAAAAATAAATTAAAAACCCAGAAATTCCAATACTAGGCAACCCTCCAAAATTGGCAAAGCTCTGTGTATATTAAAAATGTATTGAGTCCAGGCATGGTGGCTCACGCCTGTAATCCCTGCACTTTGGGAGGTTAAGGCAGGTGATCACTTGAGGTCAGGAGTTCAAGACCAGCCTGGACAACATGGTGAAACCCCATCTCTACTAAAAATAAAAATAAAAAAATAGCCGGGCATGGTGGCAGGAGCCTGTAATCCCAGCTATTCAGGAGGCTGAGACTGGAGAATCCCTTGAACCCAGAAAGCGGAGGTTGCCGTGAGCCAAGATCATGCCACCGCACTCCAGCCTGGGGGACAGAGTGAGAGCCTGTCTCAAAAAAAAGAAAAAAAAGAAAAAGCACTGAAACATGCGACATCTACCTTTTTGTAATAGTTCCCACAACCTACACAAATGCATACAAAATGCTTAATATTTTGCCTGCGCTATTCTTTTCTGCTGGAAGGGTGGTTCTGAATAAAAAATTTTATTTTCCTATTCTTGGCTTTTTCATTAATGCTACTTTCTTTGCCCCAGGGTTACAGAGTGGAAAGTCCCACAATCTTTTTCTTCTCTATTTTCAGGTAGATGCATTTTATTACTATATTCTATCTGTTTATTCTATCTATTCCATTTATCATCTACCTACCTATTATTATCTGTCATCTGTATTCCATCTACCTATCATTGATCTATCTGTCAATCTACATTTTGTCTTGTAGAAAAACACTGACCTCTTGGCGAGAATGCACAGAAGGGAACGCTTACACACTGTTGGTGAGAATGTAAAATTGTACAACTTCTATGGAAAACAGTATGTAGGTTTCTCAGAGAACTAAAAATAGATCTACCCTTTGACCCAGCAACTCCAGTAATGGTTATCTACCCAAAGGAAAGAAATTATCAGAAAAGACACCTACACTTACATTTTTACTGCAGCACAATTCACAATAGCAAAATCATGGAATGAATCTTAAGTGTTCATTGGATGAAGAAAATGTGGTATACACACACCAAGACTATTATGCATCTATAAAAAAGAAACTATCTTTTGCAGCAACATAAATGGAGCTGAGGGTCAATATCCTAAGTGAAATAACTCAGAAACAAAATCAAATACCACATGTTCTCACTTATAAGTGGGAGCTAAAAGAAATGGGTACACATGGACCTACAGAATGGAATAACAGACACTGGACACCTTTAAAAAGGGGAAGGTGGGAGTGGACAAGGGTTGAGAAATGACCTATCTGGTATTATGTTCACTGGGGGACAGAAGGCCAATCCCACCACTGGGCAATATATCCGTGTAACAAACCTGCACCCTTATGCCCTGAATCTATTTGTTTTTTCAACATTGACTTCCACAGTCACTATTTGTCTGTGAAATCACTCCTTATCAACCAGGACTTGCATGTTTTTTTGTTTCTCAGGTGAACTGTCACCCCTGCAACTCAGCCTGCAACCGGCCCTGGCCACCACCAGTTTCCCCACACTGAGCTGAGTATTGGACATGCCCATCTTAGACATTCCAGCCCATTCTGAAATTCCACATCGATTTACCCGACAAAGTCTGAAGTTCCAGGGCAATTTATCTGGAAAAGCTCACCTGGCATCACGTGTCATTTCAACCAATAACTATGGAAGAGGACGTGGCATCAAAACCAAGGGTATCAATTATTAGGGTTGTGTGATGGTTGGTCCAGGTATCTCTCCTTCACGCCATCACTCCTTTCAAGAGCTGCCAGTTTTCTAATTTAGCACAGGAATTTAGATGCCTCTAAATAAGTAGGCATCCAATATCCGCCCAGACCACTTTTTGTGAGAGTCCGTATGGAGACACTACCACCACCGCTGCTCTCCTACTGCATACCCCACCATGCCAAAGAATGGTGGCTCAACCTGTAATCCTGGTGCTTTGGGAGGCCAAAGAGGAGGAACACTTGAGATCAGAGGTCTGAGACCAGCCTGGGCAACATAGTGAGACCTCATTTCTACAAATAAGTTAAAAAATTATATATATATATATATATATAGCGTAGTGGCGCACACCTGTGTTCTCAGCTTTTCAGCAAGCTGAGGCCGGAAGATGACTTGAGCCCAGGAGTCTGGGGCTGCAGTGAGCTAGGATTATGCCACTGCACTCCAGCCGGGGGCAGCAGAGAGACCCCATCTCTAAAAAGAGGAGGAGGGAAAATACTACACCTTCTCAGACCTAAGGTAAAAAGGTTTTTGGTCTCACACTGACCAAAAAACGTTGATATTTACTTAAGCAATATAAACAGGGTCACTGTTTTAGAACAGAGGATTAAAGAGAAAGTAAAATCAGCACTGAGATAGGACGGAGGACGTTAACTGAGTTCCTATCCCAATGAAGAGAAGAAAAGGCTCCATCTACGTGAAATATCTACTTATCCTAGAAAAAGCCTTTTGACAGCAACATAAAATTCATACCTCTTAGTTTTTAAATTCTTATGGATGCTGTAGCAAATAACCACAATTTGGGTGACTGAAAGTAACGGAAGTTTATTCTTTTCCAGTGTTGGAGACCAGGAATCTGAGATTAAGTTGTAGGCAGGGCTGGACTCCCCCTGGAGGCTCTAGAGGAGGATCCTTCCTGCCTCTTCCAGCTCTTGGTGGTTCCAGGCATCGACGCTGTCATAGGACAAAGGGCCCTGGGTGCCGACTTCCTGGGGAGGGCCGTGCCCCGCTGCGGTTCGGGGTCCCCCGCCAGGCTACCCCTGCGCCCTGGGTCTCCCCGCGGGGGCGCTCGGAGAGGTGGAGCTTCCCCCGCAGCCCCGGCGAGTCTCCCCGACCTCCTCTCCGCCGTCCATCGCCGGGTCCGACGTCACAAAACCTCCTGCGGGTCACCTCGCCTGGGGGACCTCGTGCGCCCTCCCTGGCAGCGACTGCAGGGACACTGGCCTCCGTTTGCCCAGCGGCAGGTCCTAGGCGTGGAGAGTACACATTTCTCCCAGTTCGCCCGCCCCCTCCGGCTCGGAGCCCGAGAGCCGCCTCCTCTCATTTCCAATCGGATAATAGGGACGCTGAGAATAACAACTAGGACCAGCACCGCGAAGGCGCTCCTCTCGTGGGTCAGAGGTCGGCGCCCCCCCTCCGCAGCACCCAGCACCCGCCCAGGGACCCCCGGTGGCCTCAGGCCTCCAGTCCCGCCCTGGGCTCCCGAAGCCCTCCGGCACCCCAGGCTCGTCCCGAGGCCTGCGGTGCAGCTCCGCCGGCGGGGAGGGCCTGCAGGCCGCAAAGCTGCGCGAATGACCCGCGCCCTCCGTCCGCCGTCCTCAGACCAGCGGCGCCTCTCACCTGGCTTAGAGGGCTGCGCGGCTCCGCGACTGCGGTTCTTGGCCCGAGCGGGAAGGCGACGGCGGCGCGGACTCCGAGCCCAGCCGAGCTGCGAGGGCCGACGGGAGGCGAGCCCGCCCCTCGGGCGCGCCCACGGGTTAGACGGCGCGCCACTGAGGGGGCGTCTGACTGCAGGCTCCGCGGCAGCGCCTGTCCGGCAAGAGCCTTGGATACACTGAGTTCAGGGCGGCTCCGGCCCCTAGGACCCAGGAGCGGACGCCAGCCGCACACCACCTTCCCGCCCATTGGCCCGCCCCGGCCGGCCGCTGTGCACGTCATGGCGTCGGAAGGAAATACGCCAATGGGGTGAAGGGGTCAAGCTGAATTTACAGGCTCTGCGATGGCCCTGAGGCGGGACTAGGAGGGCGTTCCCGGTAACAATTGGACAGGATCTTGCGTAAGGGCGCCCCCGACAATAGAAGTAACGAGGAACTGGAGTGGCTGCCTCCTTCGCAAAGTGGGCGGGTCTTGCATTATCGAGCCTGACGATTGGTCTTTCCAATTGCCGGAAGCGACAGGCATATGGTCTGGAAACAACCTGTGGTATCGAATCCCTGAGAGGTAAAACGTCCGTTCGCGGGCCGGAGAGTCCCGTAACCGCCACTTACCCGTGGTCTGTTGCTTGCCGTCCCTGCCGTCGAGCATCTCGGGTCCTCGTTCGCCCTGGCCCCTGGAAAGCCCGGCTCGTGGCAGCGCTACCCTGATGCGGCGGCGAGAGGAGGGGACCGGGGCCTCGGGGCGGGTGGCGGCCGCAGCGCGAGAGCCCTGGGCCTCGCGCCCTCAGAGCCTGAGCCGCGTGAGGGAGGGCGAGCCGCAGCCCCTGCCTTGCTAGTTCTCCAACACGTGAAAAAGGTGGATGAGAACTGGTGTGGGGATAGAAGATTTGGGTGGGGTTCACTTGACACCACCCAATTTCTAAATTAGCCATATTTTCTGAGTAGTTCTACCAACAAAGGTCAAGCTGGAGCCAAGTGCTGTAGTCCCAGCACTTTGGGAGGCCCAGGTGAGGGTATATTGAAGCCAAGAGTTCGAGACCAGCCTGGGCAACATAGCAAGACTGTCTCTACAAAAAGTTTTTGGTTTTTGGATTTTTTGAGACAGAGTGTCCCTCTGTCGCCGAGGCTGGAGTGCGGTGGCACAATCTCAGCTCACTGCAACCTCTGCCTCCCGGGTTCAAGCAGGTCTGCCTCAGTTTCCCGAGTAGCTGGGATTACAGGCGCCCTCCACCACGCCTGGTGAATTTTTGCGTATTTACCAGAGACGGGGTTTCACCATGTTGGCCAGGCTGCTCTTGAACTCCTGACCTCATGTGATCCGCCTGCCCCGGCCTCCAAAAGTGCTGGGATTACAGGCGTGAGCCACCGCGCCCAGCCACAAAGTTTTAAAATGACCCTGGCACGGCGGTGCGTGCTGGTAGACCCAACTACTGGGGAGACAGACGGGACGGTTGTTTGAGGCCAGGAATATGAGACCTGCCTGGGCGTCATAAGGAGACTCCATATCTAGAAAAAATAAATATATATATATATGTATATTAGCTGGGTGTAGTGGTGTACGCCTGTGATCCCAGCCGCTCAGGAGGCTGAGGTGGAAGAATCGCTTGAGCCCAGGAGGTCAAGGCTGCAGTGAGCTATGATTGTACCACTGCACTCCTTCCTGGGACAGAGACCCCTGTCTCCAAAAAAATAAAAGGACACAGACACGCACAGAGGGATGACCATGTGAGGACACAGGGAGGATCGCTTGAGTCCGAGAAATGGAGGCCGCACTGAGCTGTGATCATGCCACTGCACTTCCCAGGCGGAAGCGATCCTCCCGAGTAGGCAGGACCACAGGTGTGTGCCACCATTCCCGGCTGATTATTTGTAGAAATGAAGTCTTGCTATGTTTCTCAGGCTGGTTTTAAACTCCTGAGCTCCAGTGATCCTCCCACCGTGGCCTCCCAAAGTGCTGGTATTACAGGCATGAGCCACTATGCCTGGACCAATTCTTAATTGGTGACTTGACTTTATTCATCTGTCTCACTCAGCTTCCTTCAAATGCTGAGCCTCCGTCCTCTTGCTAAGCTCTTTTAAGAAGGTAGTGTACCATGTCAACCTGTTCTAAATATTTGAGGAGAGAAAGTTCTAGAATTCACATCCCCACCAACTTTCTCTTTTTCTTTAAAAGAATTTTTTAAGAGACACAGTCTTACTCTGTTGCCTGGGCTGGAGTGCGGTGGTGCAATCATAGCTCACTGCAGCCTTGACCTCCTGGTCTCAGGTGATCCTCCTACCTCAACCTCCCAAGTAGCTGGGACCATGAGTGTGCATAACCACACCCAGCCAATTTTTTTGTTTCTTTACTTTTTGTATCGGTGAGGTCTCGATTTCCTGGCTTCACATGATCCTCCCGCCTTAGCCTCCCAAAGCACTGGTATTACAGCCATGAGCCACCGTGCGTGGCTGCCACTGACTTTCTGAACCCCAGGTGTATTAGCCACCATAACAGACATCTTTTGTCTGATACATTCTGTGGATCATATTGTTTGGGTGGTACAGGCGCAGATTTGTTTCATGGGTATATCGTGTGACACTGACGTTTGGAATACAGATGATCCCATCACCCAGGTACTGAGCATGGTACCCAACAGGTAGTGTTTCGGCCTGTCGCCTCTATCTCTCCATCCTGTAGTATTACCCAGTATCTACTGTTCCCAACTTTATGTCCATATATAGATTATGTTTCTTAGAGTTCTCTAAATAACGGGGCAGGGAAGGTAGTGCGAATGATGCAAAGGTGTGACAAATTGATTCTGCAAAATTAACTTTTTTTGAATAAAATATTCAATTTTCTGAAGCGAACAGGCTTTCTCAAGCAAAATTTCATTTGAATCCACCCCCAGCCTGCAGAGAGGGAGGGAGGGAGACCTATTAAGAGTTTTATTTGTTCTCTTGAGTCTTATGACTGACTTCTTAATGAAAACCCTTATTGTTTTCTAAGAGAAAAAAAAGAATGAATGCAGTGTTCAAAATGGGATTATGTAGAATTTTTAGGAGCATAAAGAGAAATTGAAGAATTATGAAAACAAAGGCCAGAAAAGCAAACTGTTCTTCCTCTATGTAGCAGCCAGATGGCGTTTTAGGCAAATACACCGCAAACTGCACAGCCGGGGATCCCCATCTCAAAGGGCTTTCCACGGAGCAAAAGCAGTTTTGATTGTATTGTCATCACCACCATCAACTTTTTTTTTTCACTCATATGATGTATACCAATATCATTATTCTCGTTGTTTGTATATCCATCATCATCATCATTAATGTCTGTTAATTTTTGCATGTTA